AAAAATACGCGATGACGACAAGAACCGCCTCTTGATACCGCGTTAGCAGGACGCCTTGGTGAGAAAATGCAGACGACGATTACTTCGCTCGTTGATACTCGGCGTTGATACTCGGCGTTGTATGTCCCCAAAACAGCGCTCAAGAGACGACCAAAAAGTCTCAAGAAGAAAAAGACCCCGCAATCAATCGCCGGGCCATCTACGTTGGAGCTTGTGGTGGCTTCCGCTGTGCAACGCAAACAACGCAGCGAGGGGAGAGCCATCCAGGAAGCAGGAAGTTGTATTGTGTTATGCCACGAAAGTAGATTGTGAACTGAGACTATGGAGGCCAACATTGGGGACAGAACGATAGGCTGTGCCGGATGAGGCCACGAGGCTCTTTGATGGGTCACGACCGTATAGGGTCGCTACCGGTCCTCATCCGTACATGGCACCTTCTTATTCACACCACACATACTCTAGGCTACTCGCTTCCTGGAGTCGGAACTCTCCACGCTTGCATCCACCTGGCATGGCTTGACCAAACAAGACACAACAAGCCCCTCAACACAAAGGGATGCCGCTGTCAACTTTGCACCGCATCACGCCAACGAACTGACGGGCTGGTGCTGATTGGATGTCGAAGTCAAAGCACGGTGCACGTGTAGCGTTGACCGTGCCGTGACGGGGCACCGCATCGACGCCACGCATCGCATTCTGTGAATGACCACCGTAGTACACCGGTGTCAGACACAGATTTTGGAACGTGTTCCCCCTTGTGCGCTTGGCGGTTGGCCGACAGTGATAGACACGAGTGAACATGGCGCCGATGGCTTCCATTGTAGCGTCATATGACCGACCGCCGTTAAAATTGTACCATTTGGGTTAATATCTGATTCCTTCTACAGACACGTCGGTCCAACCGTGCAGTACTCGCGGCTTTCGGCGTTTCAGAACGATAAACAATAGCACACCGATAAATCGAACGATCTCCCTGACGTTTCATGATCGTACAAGTTGTCTTTTTGGCCTCGTTGGCCACGCGCGCTGTCCGGTATAGCACTGTGGACATGAAACGGTTTGCGGTTTCAAATGTGTCGGCGCCATCCGCCGGCGCGTCATACTTTGTACAAGGAACGGCGCGAGTCCGACCTGGCCGTGCCTCTCTCGGAAAATAGTGTGATGACGTCTTCGGCCGACCGTGCCACCTGTTGCAGGGTTTGTGACTGTTTGGGTACATAGGACTCGTGCCGAAAAGAAGACAGGTGACAAGCGAGTTTTTGTTTGCAAGCGTCCCGACACCCATGCCGTCCCAGCGCGAACGATACCGCACCTACTACTACCGCCATCGCGGCGCGATTCTCGAGCGCATGCGCACTCGGTACGCTGACAACCGAGAGAAGGAGCAGGATCGGCAGCGCGACAAGTACTTGCGACTCAAGGCGCACAGGCAGGCCGCATCAACGTCCCTTCGACTCGCCTTTATCCTCAACAAGGCACCGGCGCCACGGTTTGAGAACCGACGACTCGCTTTGAACTACATACTAAACGAAGAGCCGCATGTAATAGACGCTTAAAAGGCAAAGTTGGCCACATGTATTGGCGATGCGCTGCTCGTTTGGATGCCACCGTTGAGCGCCCTGTGTACTAGTACCAAATACGCCTATCTACGTCCGGCACCAAAGGCTGGCGCCATTTCGCTTGCTCTCTGCCGCAGATGGCATGTTCTTTGATTAACTCATTCATTGTGCAGGATACGCATGCTAACCCACTTCAACACCCACCGATGAACACCCAACCCTACGACCTTTCATCTGGAATGAGAATCAGAGCTGCTCACGTCACACCCTACGACGGTGGACCAAGCTGCCTCGTATGAACCACTCTGTCCTGTGCCTGCCCGCCGTCGTTGCGCACGAGGTATGGTGGTTGGTATGTCGTTCAAGTGTGTTGAAGGTCTGCGCTTGAAAAAAAGAAGTAGTATCGAATGCAAAACCCCTTCGTGTTGAGGATACGACACCACTAGACACCATGCAGCGACTCGGCCATTGCTGCTTCCACTTTACTTCTTGACGATACACGAGCCGTTGACCGTGCCCTTGCCACCGGCGATGCGGTAGCACTTGGTCGACGGCAAAATGGCCATAATGTTGCTCGTCATCGCAAACGAGAGCGCACCAAAGAAAACGACGATGAGGATTGCACCGGCGAGCTTGCTCTTGCCACCGCGCTTCTTGAGTTCTTGCATCTGCGCCTTCTGCGGCGGAAGCATCCAGAGCCACCCGAGCGCCGCGATCTTGCAGCCAAACGAGATCAAGTAGCAGTAGGTCACCTCCCAGCGAATTTCCGTCGTGTCCTTCTTGATGTCGTTGAGCGACACCTTGAAGAACGAGTCAATGTACTTGTAGATGACTGACGCGAACGGGCCCGCGAGGTTCGAGATGGTCGTGACGAGGCCATACGTGGCGCCTTCGTTGCCCACGTCGGCAATTTCAACCGCGCAATAGGTCGAGATGATAAAGCGGACTCCGGCGGGAACGTTATCGGCGAGCGCGACACCCGTAAAGAACCACTGGTTGCGGAAGACGTCCCAGATCGTGATGAAGAGCACAAAGCCGTCAATGAGAATGATGCCAATCGCGCCGGCCGCGATCGTGTAGCGCCAGTTCCAGTTGAGACCCCACTTGCCGACGGCCGCGAGAATACCGGCAAAGATAAGGCTCCCAAGGACACCCGAGAGCGAGTCGTTGAGCGGCTCGACTTTGGCCCAGACGCTCTGGATCGGGCTCCCGGGGGTGGCGCCAATGCCCGAGAAGCAGTTGCTAATGAAGCGGAACGCGCAGATCTGCCACATGACGCGTTGCTGGAGGAGGTTCCAGAACATGCTGAGCCACTCACCGAGCGGTGTGCGCGGCGTCTTCTTCTCGACGACAACAAAGATGGTCGTCAAGACCACAAAGACACACGGGATGAGGCAGATGCCGAAAATAACGTTCGGACCGACCGAGAACGTGAACGTGCCGCCGTACTCCTTGCCGTTCAGGAAGAAGGCAATCACGAGCTGCGAGAGAATGCCCGTGAGCGTGCGGACCGTGTAAATCGCGGTTTGGACGCGGCCACGGATCGCGATCGGCTCGCGTTGGGCGTACTCGACGACCATCGCGTCAGACGCGCAGGCCGCAATGACGTAGCCAAACGAGACAAACATCGAGAGGAGGATGAAGAGCGTGCCGCGGTTGGGCGCCTCTAGGTCAAAGTACTTAGCGACGTCGGCGGGCTTGACTTTCTCGATGGGGAGGTCGCAGAGGTCGTTCGCGAGGCGGCGGTCGCAGTACGGCGCCCCGAACGGCGAGAACGTCATGATGGCCAAGCAGATCATTGTGATCGTCCACCCGATGAGCATCCACGATTTGCGGCGGTAGCCAAAGATGGGAAAGCAGTCCGAGAGCATGCCCCAGAAGACCTTGAACGACCAGCCCGTGGTGACGAGCACGCCGTACGACGCGGTCTGGTACCCTTCCATGCCGAGGTAGTTGGTGTACAGCGCATACGAGAGGTACGGAATCATGCCATAAATGATACCAATCGCGCCGTACTGCGAAAAGAGACCAAACGCTTCGCGCGAAAAAAGGTGCAGCGCGCCGCCCTCGACAAGCGCGCCGTCTTCCAGCTCACCGGGCGTCTTGGCGTCGGCGTACCCGTCCTTCTCGGCGTCATGCGGCGTGGTCGAGGCGATGTACGAGACGCGCTCCTCGAGGTCGAGCTTTCCGGCTAGTTGCGCCATGATGGAGCAAATTGGAAAATGAGCTGGGATGGCGCAGTCGAATGCGAGAGGAGGTCGCTGCTGATGGCAACTCAGATCGCTAGCACAGGCGTGAAAGCAGCTGACTACACCTAGTAATCTAGAAATCTGCTTTGGACGATATCCTTTTGTGGGTGAGCGGTCGCCACCCACTACCCCGGCGTCACTGTCCCACCCGTTGGTCGACATAGAAGCATGTAACCAATCGATGAAGAGTACTAGTATACGAAAAAGTGCGTGATCTCTCTACGGCGATTCGACAAGTCTGTCGCTATTTGAAAGAATGGTATTATGGTGTATCGCACCACTACTTGGATCCTGGATGCCCCCGCACAGGACAAACTATGTTATGCTGTATATGTTATCACTGTGCAGCGAGTTATAGCGAAAGACCCGTCGTGGCAGTTTCAACACTTGCAGTCGGTGGACACTGACAACAGCTGCTGCTCGACGGCTTGCAGAACGTGACGGCAGAAGGAAAATCACACGTGGAGCGTCGATATCTTCGGTACATTGGGGTACCTTCCTGTCGCTGCCAGAGGCACGGCTGCGTGGTCAGAACATTATGTGCACGGTAACATCAAGAACGTCACCTTCAACGCCACCACCTCGCCCGGCTCGTTTGTTTGAACCAGACGATGCAACCCGTAGTTACGGCCGACTGCAAAGTTCATTATTAGGTTGTATAGCCTAGTTTCAAGTCGATGGAATGGACCGTGAGATGGTTGCGAGCACCACAGCCGACGAGCTCGCAAAACACCTGCGCGATTTGTACGGTGGTACATGCACAGAACGTGCCCCTTCAACTTTTGACGCTGACAGCTAACGGTCCCAATCTGCTCTGTTGCAACATGTGCTGGCTCCATCTGTTGGCCCCCGCTGACGTGGTCGACTTGAAGATATGACGACGGATCGTAGCAGAGATCTGCACTGGATTTTTGGGTCCGTCCATGTACGTGGGTTTTATTATAGGGCTTTTTTTTGTACGTCCATGTACGTACGCTTTATATAGGGGAAATAATGTCCGTCCATGTACGTACGGCTTTTTTTCTCTTTTTTTTTGTCCGTCCGTGTACGTCCGAATTTTGTCCAGTCCAGAACGGTCCGTTCTGTCCGCAGTTGTCCGTGACGTCCAGCTGGTCGACTCGAGGCGCGAAGTCGCGGATCGTGCTTTGGCGGGCTCCCGGGATCATGGTCGTTGGTCGCAGTCGAATTGAAAAATGAGCTCACTGAAGAGTTTTTATACTTAGACCTGTCTCGTCTTCAACGTCATGACTGGAGAGGCATTCGACAGTCATTGGAGCCCTTCGACAGTCGTTGGAATCTCGCACAGTCCTCTCCCATGCTCCTCCTGGTCCTCCTCGACGCTGAAATTGCTTCGGACATTTGCGGACGAAACGTACGGACAAAAGTTCCTGTCCACTTGATTTGCTGTGTACGTCCGTGTCCAGTCCGATATTTATCCCAGCTTTTTTTGTACGTCCACGTCCGTCCGGTTTCCAGAGGAGCCTCGCCATGTCCGTCCGTGTACGTAAATAAAACGGACGGACACGGACGTACAGCTTCAGACGTACGGACTGGACGACTTTGCAGATCTCTGGATCGTAGTCGCCTGCTGTCACAAGGAGAAAAGCACTGGGTGTCATGGGTAGTGAGCTTGTACGTCACGCGTTGTATGACGGCATCGCGTCACTGTCGTGGAAGCCAGCGACATATAAGTCGTCGACAATAGCGTTAGGACAGCGATAGAGATGGCGAAGTGGAGGATAGCCAGAGCAAACATGAAAAGAGCTTGACCTGGATCTGAGGAGTAAGAAATCATTTTGTCCGATGGCAATAGTCCTTTGAACCTGGTTTCCATCTGCAAGCTCGCTTGCGCTTTTTCAAAATGAAACCACCTTTCATACACACATGATTCAAATACTACTTTCTTCCTCATCATTTGAATCTTGTTAGATCGGATGCTTTTGGCATCTCTTTGGATCGCGGTCGGGCTGGCGTGTACCAGACCTGCTTGGACTTGAGAGCAAACCAGATCCCGTCCCCCGTTTTAGATTCTAGCTCCTAGTGTGTCCACAACGTAGCATGTTATATGTGTTGCTTTTGCTGCCACACTTGAGGTGGAAATGCAGTCCAAGTCGCAAGAAGCAACGACCCAACGCTACGAGCGCCGTAGGATAGCTTCTTGACAAAGGAAAGAAGAGAGAGGTGCCTCTGGGTGTCTCACGTGACTCGACTGACACCGAGACTTATGCGATTGGGACCTATAAGTCTCGTGGGTGAAAATGACGCAAGTGGTCTCTTACGGCGTCCAACTGTATTCAAACGGTATTGGGACATTCCATAGCGCCGTCTCGTCGAGCAAAATGCGATCGCGGTGTTTCTTGAGCTCGTGCAACGCGATATAACACGCGTCGAGATCGAGGCCATTGTCGGAGGCGTTCACGTGCAGTTGTAGCTTGGCGCCTCGCAGCAGCGTCACGACGCCGTCAGTGCCAAGACCATTCCTTGAGATATCGAGTACATGCAGCGTGGGGTGCGCCCTCAACGCCGTTTGAAACGATGCCATGTGAGCTGCACCAATCTGGTTGTCGTGCACGTCCAAGTACCGCAGCGTCGGCAGCTTGGGCAAGGCCGACACGACGGCGGCAAGCGACGAAAGCGCATTGCTGCTGAGATCGAGGTGTGTGAGGTACCGGCCACAGCCCTCGTCTCGATGGAACGCGCCCGTCAGCGTCGACAGCGACGCGTCCGACAGCTCGGCTTGCCGCACGACGAATTCTGAGAGCAGCGAGAGGTGGCTCATCGCACTAGCAAGATCCTGTGCGTCTGGGATGGCCACGGCTTCGATCCTCAATGCCCGCAGCTGCAAAAGAGTCGGCAGTGTCGGCAGCAGCACTGGCAATGAGGAAAAGCCACGTAGCACAAGGCGTGACAGCGCTGCGTCTTCCAGCGTCGCCGCGACATTGGTGCCTTGGACTGCGTCGAGCTCCATGGCGTCGAGCATGAGACTGCGCCATAGCACGGGCAGTGGCGTCCCATCCAAGACCGTCGTCGTCGGCTCGATAGATCGCCCCAAATACACACTGTTGATGGACGCAAGGTCCCGCATCGCTGTATGGAGCGGCGCAGGCAGCGCGGCGAGGCCGTCGATACCCACGTGCACGCTCGGAATCTGATGCAAAGGCGTAACCAAGCTCACCGCCTCGTCGCTCTCGGCCGCGCTGGGAGGTATCCTTTTTGCGCGCGGCTCAAACAGCGTAAGGTGCAAAGAGCACAGTGTCGTGTGCTTGCTTGTGAGCGCCAATGCGACGAGGCTAAGGCTCTCGAGCGGCACGCGCAGTGTGAGCGTCTGGAGGTGCGTGCACGAGGTCAAGCACGCACCCAAGTCGGAGCGCGTCGTCGTACGCGGCAGCGCGCGCGTCGATTTCAGCTCGATGCCGATGATCTGTGCGGCGTATGCGTCGACGGCGTTGGCAATGTGGTCGAGCGTCGCGAGGTTGGCGACATGGAGCTTGGTTGCGTGCGCGACGATCGCGCGGCCAAGCACAGAGCCTGGCGCGATGCGCTCGAGCAGCGCGGTGGATGGAACAAGGCCCATAAGCGCAACGTAATGGCAGGTGTCGTCGTCATTGGTCGATGCGAGGACGAGGCGAGGCCAGAGGTGCATGCTCGGCGTCGTCGCCGCCAGCGCCAAGAGACTGCAGAGCGCTGGCGACAACGCGCGCGCTGGCTGCGCGCGCAGGTACAAAAGCAGTGCATGCGGGCAGAGTATGCAGCGCGCAATCGCCTCGATAATATTGGGCGCAAACAGCGTCGCGGGCGGGCGCTTGGCGACCTTCGACGGGCCAGCCTCGTCGGTTGCACGCATAGTTCAAGCGTTGATTCCGGATACAACATCCGGATAAAAAAGATTCCCGCCACGAAGGGGCTCGACCAAGCGATCAAAGGATTGGCGCCGGCCGATCGTGCATGGGAAGGACGTAGTAGGACGGGATCGTCGTCGTGCCGTGTGCTCGACCGACTGCACAACGCTGCATTCAAGTTTGTTTTACGCAAAAGTCATACCATTCCGACAGTTGTAGTACACTTGTACTGTAGCATTCCTCAAATGTGCTTGGTAGCGGAGGCCATCTTGGTGGCCCGATGCTTGCGTCTTCTAGAGTGTCGACCAGCTTGGCGTCGCCTGTTGTACCAACGTACGCATGAACAACTACGCGCGTCACTGCGATCATATACTGCAGTCCTAACAATAAGGTTTTCTTATTGAACGCTGACGAGTGCGCACCAACGACGCCAACAGCGTTATGGACAGCCAACGCCTCGAGTTGCTCTCGCACAGCGATGCTGCCACGCCAGAATGCCACGTATACCTAGAAAGTGCAAACTCACGCAGCGGTTTCATAACGCCGCAGACAGGCGGCGCGATGCAGCAACACCGCCACCTTTTCGCAAGCGTGACCTGCGTGTTCACGTCCGTCGCATTGAGCGCTTATGCCCTCGTTCTCTTTACGCCATACATGGAGAACGGTCTCTTCTGGCCCGGCTTGGTCACCGCCGACACGCTGTCGCTGGTCATGACGATTCTCAACTATGAGTTTACACTCGCGGCGGCGACCAACGCGACGAGCCTTGCCGTCGACTTACTGCAGCCACATGTCGGCGTCGTCAACGTCGCCGACCGGCGCGGTATTAACCCCACGGCGCCGCGATTCATTGTCTACCAAACGCTCACGTCCATCGAAGCAGGGATCGACGGCTTGCGCCGTCTCGAGGCCCAGAACGTGCTCTTGATGCTAGCGCCATACTGCTGGATGGACTTTGGACGACGCTATAGCTTTGCGCACACACCCAAACGTCTTCTTCGGTGCGAAGCTGCCCGTACTGCCAACGGCGCCGCGTATTTCGAGGCGGTCTTGCGCAACATTGATCTGCCAAGTTGGCTTGTCGCGAACGAAGCCCTGTTTTTCCTGCGCCTCGGCAACGGCGTTGTCGAGGCCGGCGGTGGCGCGTGGCTAAATACCCTCCTCTCACATGCGCTGCTTCCGCCAGCCGACGAAGCGCGCGTGTGGCGCACCGCTGGACTGGATGCGTTTGAGCTCATGTACGGGAACCGCGTCCAGATCGGGCTCACCAACCAGATCCAGATTGTGAATGCGCTCGGTGTCAACTTTCCTTTTTACGCCGCGTCAATCGCCGCGACGAACCGAGGTGCGTCGTGGACGTCCTCCAACTTGTACCAGAGTCTACATCTCGACTGGAGTGCTCTCCGAAGCAACGAAAGCCTCATCTTGGGCAGCGCCAACTGGTACGGCAACGTCTCGGCCAGCGCATTAGAAGCATATGCTGTCGGCCTGCCGTTGACCCGTATCAACCAAGTGATCCACGACCGCGTCGGGCCGCTCGCCAACATTGACATGCGGTGGGTGCCTGTGCCAAGCGAGCTCCTCACCGCCGTCGACCACGTCCACGGCCTCGTCGTCACGGCGCTGCGCTCACGGAACGCATCCATTGCGCGTGCATATGCGTCCATCGTACCTCTCACCATGTCGGTGGTGCCCTCGAAATGGCAGGACCCTGGCTACCTCTTCCTCATTGGCAGCTTGATGTGCCAATACGGTGTACCCGTCAACTTTGTGCAGCGCACGTTTGGCTTTGACGATTCATGTGGTACTGCACTACCGTTCTCGGTCACAACGCACCCGATCAAGCTCGTGTTTGCCTTGCGCATCTGGCTACAAACCATGTCGGATCAGAGCAGTCTTGGCGCCATTTGCGCTCAAGTGCCCAGCGACGAACGTCGGTGCAATAGGCTACTGACCAATACGACGCGACTGCTGTCGGCGCTGCCATCGTGGGACGTACCACCGTCGCTCGTGCGTACTATCATGGCACTCAACACGACGAAACCGCAGTTCCTAACGCGTCCGAATCGCACCGAGGTGGAGCTCGAGACCATTGCACACTTTGGTGAAGGCTACGAGCTCTTTGCGTGGATGGTCATGTACGACTGGGCCATCGGTCTTCGGGAGATTGTGACATTCGAGGGGGACACGTCCACGCTACGTGTGTCCTCCTACGCGTACACGCCGCTGACCAACCCGACGAGTCCGTTGCAGTCGAGCGTCGGCACGTACCTCATATCCGCATCGTGGATCGTCACCGTCGTCCTCGCGCTTGTCGCCATGCTCAGCCTCGGCACCACGTACGGTTATCTCTTTGCGCGCATCGCGTCAGCCGTGTGGCTCAACCGCAGCGTTCTCTTCCTCCGCAGTTTGACGGCCAGCGTGTGCTTGGCCACGTCGCCTATCGTGGCGTCCATCGTGGGGCCGATGCAGCAATTGGAAGCGCCACCGCGAAGTCTCCTGACGTCAATGGTGCTATCCAGCGAGTCGCTCTGGACGACCTATGTCGCCCACGATATACTGAGTCCGCTACTGCACTCGTCGTACTACGTACATCTCAACACCGTCCTCGCATGGGTCGTCCTCACGGCCATCGATGTATGGTACCCGGTCTCGATGACCGTCGCCATTGAAATGAACTGTTCGACCGTCAATATGGACTGGCAAGTCTACTGCGCCGCCGCAAGTATCGCGATTGGCTCGACGGCTCGGGTCGGCTTTATGTACGCTGTTCAAGGCCTCATGTTGCTGTTGACGGTGGGTGTCTCGGCCGTCGTGTCCAAGCGCTGTCTGGCCGTTGACACAAAGTCGTCTCTCCTCTTGCATACATCGGTACTGGCCTTTCTACCGCCAGCAATAAGTCGTCCAGTAACGAGCCTCGACCATGGCACGCGTATCATGGCGGGGCTCTTGCCTCTTGGGTCGACCACCTTTCACCTGAGTCTATGGCACCACGTTCCTCTCTGGCCGAGTTCGGAGCCCGAGGTGTGTGTCGTTGGCCCCTTTGATGATGACGTGCTGTCACTGGAGGTTGCAGTCACGTCGTGGCGCGACCGCAGCCGGTTCCAAATGGCCTTCCTCTTTCTTGGCTTTTGCTACGTCCTGGCGACGTTGACAAGCAATGTGCTCTACTACTCGGTCGTCGCCAATAACCTTAGCAACGACTATGGCTGGGCGGGCTTCAACAGCTCCGGCGCACAAGCGTTCGTGGCCAATGTATTCAATCGGCAACTCATGCTGACAACGCAAGAGCCCGCGTTTGCACTCGACAGTCCTGGTCATGGCGACATGAGTCAGCTCTACAACACGTCGACGACAGTCATTCTATGGGCCGAGTCGAGTGCCCGTCGCCAGCTGTACTCGGATGCATCCTTGGATGTAGCGGTTGCAAACCTGCGGCGCATGCATCCGTGTCAACTTCCGTGGATGTTTACGCAGTACTGCTGGCTCGACTTGAGCCAGACGTGGGAGATGGCGGCCACCGCGTCCCGTCAAGCGCGCTGTGCAAGGAGCATGGCGTCAAATGGCGCCGTGTACCTCGAGATAGGTCTGCGGAACCTCAACAACTGGACGACTTGGGACACTTGCTGGGGCGACTCGTGGCAGCTTGGCTTTGTAAAGTACTTGGAAACCTCCCGTGACGGACAACAATGGCTCGAGAGCATCTCAAGCGCGACCCTCTCCATTGAGGACGAAGTCCGCCTCTGGGAGTCCCATGCGATCTCGACCTTTCAGCTGCAGTGGCAAAACTACAAGACGCCGGGCATGGACGACAGCATTTGGATTCAGAGTGCACTCGGGATGACATACCCACTCCAGCTCAGCCAATCAGTGGGGAGTGTTCACACAAGTCAACAGACATCGTTCAAAATGTATTGGTCGCTGGCCAGCGACCTCTGGGCCATTACCACCAACACGTCTGGTATCGGGGGCGCCAGTTTGCTTCGAAGCAGCTCCCTCTTTGCGTTCGTGAACGTGTCGACGACCTCGGTGCTTGTGCAAAATGCCACGCTGCAAATGCCGCTCTCGGCGGGGTTTTCCCTTCTTGCAAGCACGATTGGACCGTTTGGCGCGATTGATTTGGTGTACGTCTCGCCGCCGCCCCGCCTCTTGTCGTACGTCTCGAGCGTCGTGAGTTATCTCACGCAACTTTTGGTCACGAACTTGGACGCCCAGCACGCATTTCGCGCGCTGTCTGTGCCTGTGCGGTACGCGCCAGTGCCGACTTTGGTGTTGGCGCTCGCGAACACGAGCTTCGTTGGCGGCAACATCTTGTGTGGCGACGACAGCACTCCGTGGAGTGTTCAGAACGGGTTTTTTGTGGCCTTTAGCGGCACCAACATGTGCCACGCGTCGTTCACTGACATGGTTCAGCCCACGCCGCTAATGCCGCTCCTGGCGTTGCTTGCGATGACGGCGTCGTCGAGAGACATTGACAGTATTTGCGCATTGGACATGCTGCTGCCAGCGACGTGTTCTCGGGACCATACGAATACGCTGTTTTTTCTAAAGACCTATGTCACCACGTACAATGCGACACTGACGGACGCTGTGGTCGCCGATGTCTTGGCCACTGGAGTCGGCCTCGTGCAGTTTCTTGTCACGTCGGGTGTGACGTCGCTGCGTCACTTTGCCCTTTTGGACCCAAATGACCGCGCGTACATGTACTATGGCTGGTGCTACCTCTTCAAGTGGGCACTTGGCGATCGCGAAGCGATTTCGTTGACCGGGGACCATGGCCAGATGACGGTGCTCTCGGGTCTCTCGCTGCCGCTCGCAATGGTGCCCGACTCGAACGCGGTACCGCTGAGCTTTGCACTCCTCACGCAATACTGCGTCCAGTACATAACTATCGTCCTCATCGGCATTAGCAGCCTCCTCGTAATCTCGGCGTCCTACCACGGCGGGCGCATGGAGGGCCTCAACCTGCTCTGCGTCAACCGCATTGTCGGTATGGTCTGGCTCGGCCGCCCGTTTGTGTTTCTGCGCAGCCTCTCGGCAATTTGGCTCCTAAACACGAGCCCGCTTACGCTTGTGCAAGCCGGAGTCGGTACGTACTTTACAGCGCCGCCATTAGCGTGGTTCAACACGTTATTGGCAACGTCCGAAGTGACGTGGTTCGTCTACGTCCTCAACGACCTCTTCTCGTGCGCCTCGCAGCAGTACACGTCGCTCTATGCGTCCAAAAGCTCGAATCTCACGTGGCTCGTGATTTTCCTCTGGACTCTCCAGTCGCCGCAGCTCTACGCCGCCGCGGTACATCGACGTTGTGTCTACGACGATATGGACGCCGGTGTTCACTGCGTCTCGGGCGGTATCGCGGTCGGAAGTCTCCGCCGCGTCGGCACGTCGATCGGCCTTGTGCTGGCTTGTTTGGGTGTCACGTACCTCTTTATGCGCTGGTATGCCCCCATACCGCGATTACTCTATACGCCAACACCGCTCTTGAACGCGCAGAGCTACTACATGCTGCGTCTGCAGCGGTGGCACATTGACGGCGTCCAGTACATTGACAAGACGTCGGCGATCATGGCCGGACTGCTCTGCACCACGTACCGCGGACAGCACATCGTCTTGGACATCAAGTCGTGGCGTATCTTCGCAACACCTCTGACCACTGCGCAGGCCGAACACGGTCGCCTGCGTCATGCACTGCCGCTGCACCCGTGATATGTTGCTCGTACCGTCCTTTGTGGGGATCGAGAAGGCAGCATCCACCTACAACTAAGGATCAATGCATGTACCAGTGCTCGTTGCAGTACCGTGTTACCTTGGCTTACAGACCCGAGTGCGCCGTCGTCGGGACGCCCGATTCGCTAGAACGTAGCGTTTAAGAGCCAACGCTGCAAAAACAGATTGCAGTTGCTCTGTTGACCGTTCGAACCAGACTCGGAGCCGTGGCCAGGGGTCGGGTTGGGCACAAATACCAAGTCCTTTTTTG